GCCTGAAGCTGAGAACTCTGGCATCTGTGCAGCCTCCACAAGTGTCGGAGGAACAGTTGGTGAATGCATCAGATTAGCAGTCAAAAACAGATCTGTAGATTGTTTCCGAAGGGTCTATTTGTTTGTGCATCGTCCCTATATACTGTAGCTCACGCAAGTAGCTAATACATGTTTTCTTACCTGCAGTGCTATTTGTAAATCTAGATTGTTATGGTGTGAGTGTTGGAGCTATCATGTCAAACACATTTTTTAATGAAGCAAAGCAGGGAATTTTTGGTCGCCGAAAACAGCATTTTCTGCTACTTTTGCACGATGTGAATTCCTTTATCAATCATTTCCTTATTAACCCTAACCCAAATACATTGTGGGTTGAACTGTCCCTTTTTTAAATGAGATGTCAGCCAATACAGGACCCCTTTTTTGTGGCAATCAGTTTCAGGACAATAAAAAGACATCAACATTTATTTTTGAGCCTTTTTATCTTAAGGTATCTTAACATATGTGTCGTGACTTCCTTCCTAGTTTTCCTATCAAGCCACTAGGCGCCTTAAACAGACATTTTTTTACTCGTTTCTTTCCTTTTATATTACTTACAGTTGAAGAGTTGCTTGGCCTCCGATAGTTTGGACGATGTTAGACGATGCGTTTGCTCCAAATCAAATAACAAACTTGTACACATGCAACACAGAAAAGAGGCCTTTACAATAGTCAAAACAAATAGTTTTTGGAAATCCCTTGTCAGCCAAAGTGGTGCATCCTGGGTATTTATCCAAAAGACTTTGTTTCTAAGAAGAGTGAGCGTGCACTTATAGACTTGTGTCTTTTACAAGCTAAGAGGGCAATAGCTATAAAATGGAAAAATGTGAACAAACCTAGTATGAATAAATATATTAAGGATCTGTCAGCATGTGTCGCTTTAGAACCACATACATTACTAAAGGAAAGCTGGCAGTTTTCAAAAATATCTGTGCGAGCTTCATGGAGTTTCTGAAAAATAATGTTTGTAATGATTAATAACAACAAAGACCGGGGCGGGGAAGGGGGCAACGGGAAAACGATTCTACAGTGTAGTCGCCCATGTCATATTCTTTCAGATTTTTGTTCTGTATCATCTGTATACTGACCTGTGTTTATTTACATGCCTATTCATTTGATTTTATACTGTATCTGCCACCTAGACTGACCATGTATGTATGTATGTGTAATGTTCGTTATTTTATTTTATGTATGTGTAATGTTCGTTATTGTATGTATGTGTAACGTCCATATTTGAAAACTTCAATAAAAATATTGTTTTAAAAAAAAACAATAGGCAAAACTCAAATAAAATAACAAACAACTTAGGTATTCTTTCTGTCTTGATACGGCTTATATAACTTAAAGGGTAATTGGACGGTTAAAAACTGTTCCTCTTTCTAGCAGGTTGCCCGTCACTGTTACTTTAGAGGAGGCGCCGTGGGAATTGTAGTCTTTTATAGTGTGTTGACTACAGACTGTCACAATGACGTGGCCTCTCTTATAAAACAAAATACTGGCTCTAACAATATGTATAAAATATGAAATTACGGTAAAAATATCAACCGTAACTATGATGCTTTTTCCCCAGGAGACCTCTGTGAACAGTAAGGAGCCTGAGGTAGTGGAGCCCCCCCCTCCCGCTCATACCAGGTCCACAAAGCACCGAGCCCCCAAACCTCCGGCCCCTCAGCCCCCTGTTCCTCTTCATCTTCCTCTTCCTCTTCCTGTGGCTGTCAGCGCTACTCCGGCCTCCATCTCCATCTCTCCCAACCCTCCTCCACCTGTCAGGGTGTCGTCGTCCGTGGCCGGGTGGGAGCGCTCTCAGAGCACGCTGCCCTCCGTCGGGACCACCGTGGATGAGGTGTTCTCCTCCGGGATGATGCCCAAACCCCCCAAGCCCTCCAACCCCCCCGGCAGTGTGAGAAGAGAGAGAGAACAGAGAGAACAGAGAGAACAGAGAGAGGGAGACGGCTCCTCCGCCAGCCCCACCTTCGCCCAGGTGAGTGTTGAAACATCAGATGGAAATGAGCTGTTTGCAAAAATCTGGCTCAATTCATCTCTTTTCCTTTCTGAGATGAATGTATTTCTTTGCATGGTCCTTGTTGAAGTAAATAGTGAGAGCACTGTTTTGAACTGCTTTGGATATTGTGAGTGGAGCAATGATTGATTGAGAGCAGAGATGGGGTCGTTACTCAAAAAAAGTAATATATTACATATTACTTTTTTTTTTTTTTTAAAGTAATATATTACTTTACTTTGTTACTCTCTACATAAAGAACGCGTTACTTTACTCGTTACTTTACTCGCAGGGCCGCCCCTCCCTACAGGCAGATCACGCAGACTTCGGAGGGAGCCTCATCTGAAGCGCAGATGCGGCGCACCTACAGCGTCGTTACTTTACTCGACATCCTCACTCTGGGTTCGGAGGTCCTCCTTAGCTATTAGCTTCACGTTAGCATGTTGTCTTTGCAGGTGCTTGTTGAGGTTTGACGTTGTGTTTGCAGCAGTGGATAAAAGCTTCTGGCCTGGACACAGTTTGCACCTCACCGTCACATTCCTGTCCTTTCTTCGGACGAACTCAAAATAATGGGCAGACCTCCACCCCCAAGTTATCGCTGTTGACTCAGCCATGTTTATGCACTTTATGTGCAAGTCACGCTAATTTCACGTAAATATAAAACCTGTGGCGGAAATCCCTCTCGTCTGTCAAAGGGAGAATCTAGTAATTCTGTATGTTAGTAGGCTAACTGTAGTGTGATTACTGATTTTATAAAAGTAACGAAGTAACACGTGTCGGGCAATGTTAGTAACTGTAGTGTGATTACTGAAGTATGACGCGTTACATTACTCCGTTACCGACAAAAGTAATATTATTACAGTTTACTTTGTAACGCGTTACACCCAACTCTGATTGTGTTACAATTAGAATCCATGTTGAAACAGATGGAGGTTTCAGAGCGACGACTAGCTCAGTCTCTAAAGACACAAGTCACAATCCATGTCTACAATGAAAATAAAAGGCCAATTCTTTATTGTGTCATAAGGAGGTGAGTGTTGACACAGAGGGAGCTTTCAGAGTCACTAGAGCACAGTTTTGAACTACTTTGGGTATTGTGAGTGGAGCAATAATTGACGTAGAGTTAGAATTACAATCTGTGTCTACAAAGAAAATACAAGGCCAATTCTTTATTGTGACATTAGGGTGTTGCCGGCGATGCATCATGCTCTACAATTAAGTTCAGCTTTTATGGAGCTACAGGTGTCGATACATTCTAACAAGACAAGTAAATGCTAAACAGGATTAGTTAGGAAAAAGGGAAGGTCTTGAGAAAGCAATTAAAAGACAGATTGCAGCTAAATTAGTTTCAGTAAGGTGCAATGCGTAGACTAGACATGATGTAAAATGTTCGCCAATAAATGAATTGTAGGAATCTTTAATAACATAAAAAATCCAATTTTAAAAAAAAAAGAATGGAAACAAGTCATTCATTTATTCCAATTGTAATTGTTGGTATCAGATACAAGAGTCAAGAAAACCTAAGAGTACAGGGTTCGTTCAAAGTGTGGGAAATATATTCATCATGTTTTCAAAGATTAGGAATACGCTTGAATTTTGAATATACTCCTTCATCTGCATCCTAAGCTGTTGTTTCACCAACAAAATCACTCCGAAAAAGTGTAATATTTGAAATGGAACCATCTTATTTGTTCGTCACCTCGCACAAATATAAACAAACCTACAATATACATCAGTCTCTCTGAATAATAGCGTAGTTTTCCACATTTCTTTGACATTTTGCTCAAGTGACCTTTTACTAAAAAGCTGTACGAATCCTGTTTTCCTAGTCCTTTCCTATCTCAGTTATATACTGAACGGTGTCTCTCTGTCTCTCCCTTCCCTCCTCCCTTTTCCCCTCATCTCTCCCCACACTTCGCAAGAAGTACTTGATTTAAGATAAGGCCCTAAAAAAACCACACTTGCGTGTACAGACTTGATATAGCCTTGAATATGACCTTTTCATCCCAGGCCACACTTACCGGATAAACATAACGAAACAATACAACACCTACTTTGGGAAACAAACAGGAAATCCTATAAATATATAAAAGTAAAGTTAAATAAACTAAACAAAACCGACTAGAAACGGTAGTTTACCTCGAGAAATTATTTCGTTTTCTAAAAAGATTGTTATTTTAAAAGAACCTAAAAGTGTGATGAAACGGGGATCGGAAAGTTAGAGGAAATTTGAACATTAACTTTATGAGATCCGATTTAACTTAACTTGTACTAGTAAATAGATAATAATATAGGGTTTCAACCAGAGTCAAGACTTACGTGTCACTCTCCTTTTGTTGAAGAAGAATGAGACGAAAATCACCGTTGTTTTAGACTCTCTAACTTTCGATTGGTCCTCTCCCCCCCCTCTGTGTCGTGGTGTCCGTCAACTCTATCCAGAATTGTTCGGGTGACCCTCTAATTAGGGTTGTTGGTATTACACCCAGTACGATCTTCTGACCACAAACAGCATTTACACATGCAGACATCAGTACCCGTCACACCACGCAGGAAAAAGTCCCACTACTAGCCGCTACTGAGTAAGTACCGCCCCCGACCTTTTGAGGTCGACACAAATGGTCAACAGTTCCTTCAGCTTAGGCCAGAAGTCCTCCCAACACGAACACAA